GCGGGTACCTACTCAAGGTTGTTACACTGGAAAGGACTCGGGATAGCAGTATCCTCTGAGCACAAAAGTACCCGTGACGCAATAGTAGGCTGCTGCAGCGAACGGAGTGTGGGGCGTCATAAGAGGATCCTTCTCTAAAATGACGCCGCAGATGGGCTTCTATTTACCTCTCACATCCATGCAACCTTTGCATTCGGACCCCTGGCTATAGCCCCTCTACAGAAGCATGAAGGTGCTCAGGCCGTAAAATCTAGCGACGAGCCTCGAAATTTTTCCATGAGCTAAGCCAACTCCCCTATCCCGCCCGACCAGAGAGGATGAACCATTTTGCCTTTAGACTATCTCCGACGAGGCGGAGATCGCATCTACGTTATGCACATCCTACGAGGAGCATTGGGGAACAAGCTAAAGCTTTCAGCGAAGCCATGGCAGTTCGACGTGAGGTCACAGCTGGAAGCTTTTAAACGGAGGGGTTGTAAGTCCGCTCAGATGTTGCCCTCGTTACTGGAGTAATTAACGAATGGAAGCGACTACCGGACCCGATTGTCAATGCGCAGTCGGAAGCGTGTCAAAGAAAAGAAACGCCTACCAAAGCCAGTATCACCGGAACAAAACGAGCCGCCTGCTTGCAACCGCTGCCGGATAACCACAAACATCCCAGAATCCCACAAAGTGACTCCAGCAGAAAGGATATTCGACGACCAAGCATTTCTTAAACGAATGGTCTCCATATTGTTTGGGGACGGTGAGCAAGGGATAAACCTAATCTCTGCTTTTCGCCTTAGCAGAAAACAAAAGGACCCAGCCAAGCTTCGTTCCCTGATAATCGTCTGTCTGTATGAAGAGGAATGCCGACGCATCCTGAGACGGACCCCGCGCCTCAAGGGAGAAAACTTCTATGTTCTGAAATATCTCTCCGCGGAGGACCGAGTCCGAATAAGGCAAGCTGTCTGCGAGCTAACAACCCGACGAGCAAATGAAGAGACGGATCTACACATAGTAGATTAGGGCGTAGTAAGGAACGCTCAGAGAGCTCAATGGAGGCCAATCCTCCTTTTTCCCGGACCTCAAGCATAAAGAACGGATTAAGAGTAATACGCGCGTATGTGCGCCGTATTAGAAACAAGCTAGAAGAGATTCCACTCATTATCTCTGAACAGCAACCGGACCTAATGGCGTTCAACGAAACCTGGCTGCCATCTGCTGTAGCTGAATAAGAGATTCATGTTTCAGGACATCAGCTGCGTCGATGCGAGCGCTTTGGCGGGTGGTCTGGAGGAGGAATAATCGGCTACGCAAAGAACTACCTTAAGGCCCACCTTGTCGAACCCCCTTGGGACAAGGTTGATATGTCATAAACGCTCTAGTGTCGAATGTATGATGGATACCAATGAGTGATGGTCCCAGTTGTCTACTGAGCAACTGCAGGACATGGCTCACACTTATTACGCTCTGCGCGTACCCATAGCAGAGGAACAAACAGTCTCCTTACGGGGGTTTCTAGACCCCGGCATAAACTGCGACCTTCTTCACAGTGACCTCCCACTTGACTCCTTTGAAGTTGCTCTTGATACCGTTTAAAAGTGCAACCTGCTACAGCATGCCTTAACAACAAAACAACAACAACACTGATGGTCCCTGGTCAGACATCAAACATTCTAGAACTGGTTCTAACCTCGGCTCCATCTGATGTCTCAGACCTAATGATCCACCAACCTCTTAGGAAGACTGACCACTGTACAGCCTCTTTTTCGTAGACACGACGACTCACGATGCACGACCACGGGACACTGCGTCATAATTGCTGGCACACTGACCAGTCCAGATTAATAACGGTTACAATTAACCTCGACTGGAGTATTTCGAAATCTTCGGATTTCTTGATGCTTGGGAACGCCTGCGATCTATGAGGATGCTGGTCATTGAACAGTTTGCTCCAATTAAACACGGGAATGAAGCCACCGCCCATTCAGGAAAGCGCTAGACGACCGTTTCGTCGCATTGGTACCTGTCCGTGGCGCGCACTTGTCGAATCCTCCCGGATTTGAACCCACGATCTTACACTTGCGAGTCAGCGACTAATGTCACTGAGCCATGGGCGACGGCAACGGACCGCCATGACTGATATCTACCTGCGATATGGCGTGGCTCATCCTCCACTGGCTTGCATGTTATGGATGTGCAGAGGACTGGGCTGCCTCCCAGAGCAACGACTTGCTTTGCAAGCCGCCAACAATCGAGGTGGCCTGTAAGCTGCTAAGGCGACTACTGATGCTTTGTAAGCAGTTGCGGGATTTACTAGTTATGGTGCGTGGTTGTAAAGGAAGTGGTGCTGGGGCCAGCCGCGCTACTGACAAGTTCCAATTAGACAAAACGGCCGTCTATCGCTTTCCTGGATGTGTGGTGGCTGTCTGCCTGTGTCTAACTGCGACGAAGCTACACAAACGACCTAGTAACTCCCCTACTATTTGTAAATAGTTTGTTCCAAGCTGCAAGAGCCGCAACCATCAAAAAGACCCACCTGCATTGAAAAGAACTGAGTTCCTTAATAAAAAACAACGGAAACTGTGGGACTACTTTAAATGCACAGGTCTGACATCAAGCTACCTAGGGTACAAAACGGTCAGAAACATATGCACCCCGAGAAAACGAGACAAGAGACTGCAATATGAACATGGACTGGCCATGGAATCCAAAAAGTGTCCCAAAAAGCTTTTTGCCTACCTGAAGCGAAATGCTAAAACGGGTAATGGAATCACCGCTCTATCCTCTTCTAAGGAAGATACTGTTTTCTACGGTGAGGATGAAAAAGCCAGCCTGCTGGCTGTGCGATATTTCTTGGTTTACTCAGGGAAATTTCCGCTGTGCAACAGCTAATTGCCTGCACACTATGCCCATATGGACCAAGTTGAAATTAAACACCAGGTAGGCACTATGCAAATCCTCGAACTGGACCCGAACTCCTCCCCAGGCCAGGATGGAATGCATCCCCGCTTCCGCAAAACGATAGCTGAGGACGTTGCCGCGCCTCTGCCAATTACTTCGGCAAGCCCTCGATGTCGGCTGCCTACCCACAGGCTAAGTAAGCGGGTACCTTCCTACCCAAATACAAGGGGAAAACAACAGAACCAAGCGAACTACTGGCCAAGATGCGTGACATCAGTCGTCCGCAATGACGTGGAACGAGTAGCAGAGTGGACCCTCCAGTTACACCACATGAAACTAAACATCACCTCACCTGCTATACGTGGGTTCCGGAGAGCACGCTGATGCATTAGGCTCGTACACAGCGCCAGGAAAACACGGGCAGAAACCATAGATATCCGAAAACAGTTTGAAGCAATATTCATTGACTTCAGCAAAGCCTTGGATAAAGTTCCAAATGTACGAATATTACAAGCACTCCAGGGAATTGGGATTACAGGAAATCTTCTCTCCTGGATCGCCGATTTCTTAAGAGATAGGATAATGTGTGTGAAAGGGAACCAAACCCTCCCCACTCCTGTGCCTATGACTAGTGGCATTCCCCCAGGATCATTGCTTGGACTAGAGCTCGTCAAACCGTACGTTAAGGAGCTGCCTACTGCACTTCAAACCAACTGCTTGATCTACGCCGATGACGTCAAGCTATGGTCAACAGTAGCCAGCATTGAGGATGCGGACCGGTTACAAGGGGATCAAGAGCAGCAATAAGAATGGTCCAGCAAGTGGGACTAACCAGTAAACCGAGATAAATGCGCTGTTCTCCCAATGGGTAGCACTGAACAGCACGGTGCATACCACGTTGGTGGGGTTCTCCTCAGGAATACCACTCACAAGAGAGATCTCGAGGTTATCGTGAGTTTTCACCCCAGAACGACCCAGGACAAGTGAAGGAAAGTGGCCGCTGGAAGAAGACTGGAGGGTGCCTTAAAGGGATCATTGGCTCGAATGACCTCTGGGAATTTTCGACACTTGTTCACCTCGTATGTCCGTCCAGTCTTAGAATATGGCCTATCAGCTATCCGTCCGTTTTCAAACTTTGAATACGCTCTGTTGGAAAAGCTTTACAGACGTGCATCGAACGCTGTTCTGAGGCTTCGTGATTTCCCACACCCTATTCGATTCCAGCGGCTAAATCTGTTCTCCCTTGACCTCCGCCGTAGCCGAAGTGGTCTCACCTACACTAGACGCATCCTCCGAGTGGAATTTGGGAATGAGGTACACAAATCCTTCCGGCCCAACATTGACTATTCCACAAGAGGTCATCCATGGAAACTATTTAAGCAAAGAAGGCACTGAATTCGCATGGAGGTCACCTTATCTGTTAGGGTGGTGAATGATTGGTACTGCTTACCGGAAAGAAGTACAGGCGCGCCATTCGAGGAAAGTTCGGACGATTGTTAGGCAAACATTCGCTGAGGATGCTGGAATGTTGCAGCTGTCACTGCAATTGCGACGAACCCTCGAGGAACGTCGGAACGCAACGACAAGCACCAAACCCAGTATGATACTGGTTCGATTGGACTGATAAGGGATTTCCCTCCTGCTTTCGACAACTCAATGAACTCATTGAATGGAATTCAAACGTTTGTTGGCATCTTCATACCGAATACGCCAGGATTCTGCAGGTCTGATATTACACCCTGAGCTATGCCACAGTTACTACGCCTGCAATTCTCGGAAGATCGAGTAAAGTTGCTGACACGAGCCTAACATTCTGCTGTGTGCCACTCAATGGACTCAAGGAACTGTTAGTCTAAAATGAGGAGAATAATAAGTAAAAATCGGAGATCTTAAGCGTGGCTTATAATATTTAACTACGTCTTCTCATATTTGTTTGTTAGCTTATTTTTATGTTTCTTTCATGGCGAGTGATCAAAATACTCAGAAATCGGACGGCTTACAGTCTTTCTGTGCGGACGATTTCTAACACGATTGTACTATATTATATTTAAAAAGCATTGAGCTGAAGGTAAGCAGCAATCAATAACGTCAATATGTATATTTTTCATAATATCATAGTTCATTGTTTTACTGTATCTGGGTCACTGTGACCGTTTTCCTGCCAACGTTACGCGCTTGTCCTGTTTTTTCAATGTTGGCAGAAACTTGCGACCTACATAATGGCGGTAGTCCTCTGCTCGATGATGAGCTGTCAAAGTCAGTGACTTTGGAGGAGTCCACAGGTATGCCTGTTAACTGTAGCTTATGTGAAAAACCGTTCAATGACCCTGTCATCCTGAGTTGTTTGCACATTTTTGATCGAGAATGCCTTCGCCCACTTGAACGTAATGATAACGTTGCACCTTATATCAAATGTCCTCGGTGTGGAGCTATTTCTGGTGGCTTAAAGACATTGCCACCTTACGATTCGGCGCTTGCTGCTGCAGAGAAAGGAGCTGTATCCAACGCCCCTGATACTGCTGTTCAGTGTTCTGTATGTACCGACGGAAACGAAGCGCTTTACCGGTGCCTTCACTGCGCCGGAACTTTGTGTGAGCGGTGCCGTGATGTTCACAAGGTAAGTCGCGACTCACTACCAACCTCTTTAGGTCATGAAAGTGTTTTCTCACCACGAAATTTTGGTTCTCACTGAGGAAGAGAAACGAAATTCCGAAGTGTTACAACGAAACATGCAAAACGCCAAACCGGTATCATGTCCCAGTCACCCGGAGTTTATGTATACAACTTTCTGCATGCAGTGCCACGTAATTCGATTTGCATTACTACCATCCATGTGTAGGTACCTCTATGTGATGCATGTTTCGAGTGTGACCACAAAACCCACATCACATCAGCACTGAAGCTGGTTCCAGAGCACGTTGATTCGCTGATCTTTAGTGCCGCAGCTACATGTTCCGTACACCAAAAAAATCTGAGAGAGCTTACTGAGAACCTTCACAGCGTTTTGTCTGACCTTAGTGCCTCACGGGACAAAAACAAGTCCCTGATCACTGATACCTTTAACCAATGGAAAGTGGCTATTGAACGAGTGAAAGTAACCGGCGTTCGTTATTTATTTTGCGTTTTCAAGGATTACTTTCTTCAGCGTAATCGCGAACTTCATGACGACTTAGAGATGCGTATCTGGTCGCGCATCCATGCTGTTGGAAAGACGATTGACCATATTGATTTCGCTTGCGAATTCTCCAAATCTTATCTGAAAAAGTGTTCTAACATAGAAATGTGCAAGTTGACGAAAAATGTCCTCACCTGTTTTGATCGACTCAGCAAGACGCCACTGAGTAATGAAGGTTCCCTCCGCGTCAATTTCACCCCGACTCCCTGCGTAATACATGAATTGGTGAAACAGAACTTCGGTACATTCGATGGTCCTCCTTCAGCCACTCCTGTTGTTCCGAAGAGAGAATCGGGGTACTTACCTTTCTCTAGCGCTGGTTCTCAATTTGTCATATCTACTGCTTGTGATGTTACGGACGATTTGAAACGTTTGAGTCTCAAGTTGGACGGCTGTCTGACGAATGGCGCAATCACACCGCTAGACGCCTCTGCTTCCGGCCCTCTCATACCTCTGAGTTCAGTCGACGCTTACGCATCGTCCCGTGCTGCCAACCTGGCCGCTGTGCATCTTCCTAGCTCCATAGACAGTAGTACTGATACTTTTACGGCCCAGTCGAATGAACCGACCGCCATCAATAGGCCTATAACGAATTGGAGTGATTTGGCCATGGGAATGGTGGGCCTAGATCAGACAGAATTTCTAAACTCAGCTCAAGGCGACCATCCTTTTCTTACATCCCCGTTTATCAATCCGGAATTTAACCAAAATACTCTTCGCTCCTTGGGTAACCCTTCCGCCATGTCGGCCCTCGAGCTGGAATCAAATATGTTAAAACAGAAACTTCCGATCAACTACAACGCCACTTTATATGAATACTGCAGAATGCGGGCCGCTCGTTGCTCTCAAATGAACCTCTTGACTAAGTGGGGGTCCCTTGGTTGCGAACTTGGTCGGCTTAATTCTCCTCACGGGTTTTGCCTGGGTTTCGAAGAGGAGATTGTAGTCGCGGACACTTACAATCATCGCATCCAGGTAAGCCAAAGTGCACTAAATATGGCTCTTTAGATATTCACAAAGCGCGGCGATTTCGTTTCATTCTTCGGAGTTTCCGGTCGTGTTGATGGCTTGTTGTGGTATCCTCGCAAAGTTGCTATTATCCGGCAAAGCCAGCGCTATGTTGTTTGCGATCGCGGCAACGAGCGCTCCCGGATGCAACTTTTTAGTCGCAGTGGACATTTTGTTCGACGTATTCCCATTCGATACATCGACATAGTCGCTGGGCTTGCAATAAACCAGCACGGTAAGAAATACTCCCATCTTATTTACTTTTCAGGTCACATAGTTGCAATAGACAGCGTCTCTCCCTCCGTGTTTGTCGTTTCCGAGGAAGGGGACTTGATTCGTTGGTTCGATTGTAGCAACCACATGCGAGAACCGTCTGATGTCGCAATTCATGGACGCGAATATTACATATGTGATTTCAAGGTAAATTTGTCATTTTGCTTGAGTTCATCTTGTCATGTAGTAAAATTTTAGAAGTATTTTGCCGAGTAACGTTATCATCGTCAAAGCATACGGTAGCTCATTGTGAAGCACTACGTTCACCATTAACTATGGTGACGCTTAACGCACACTGTCCCGTTGTTTATCTGTCGCAATGAGACCAGTCCTTAGCGTAGTGTGACGGTTTGCATACCTCGACCCATTAAGCTATACTGCTTGGTGCCCCAGGACCCATTGGGAGCCACTCCTACCTGCTTGGTCAATGGTGTGAGGTCAGACAAACTAAGTCTCCTGGTCCTTCAGGTTGGTGGTTTGAAATGGGATGGTCTCCATTTCCGTACAACTAAATCATTGCAACTCCGCTGTTTTGCGGACAGGCTTAGGATGAGGACCTTAATCGTTTTCCTGTCTAGACGCCCTGGCAGTATCTCAGCCCACAACCATGACTTTCGCCAAACTACTTACATTCTGCATCGGTCGTCGCGAAGATTATCAAGGATCGCCTTATCTGCTGCATACAGCAGGGCGGATAAGAGAAAACATGCTACTGCTGGCGCCTCTCTACTATTCCACTCCTTTTAATCCCCGACCTATAATTTCCAGCCTAATTGTCAGACACCGAAGTGCCACTAACTTGAGGCCAACTGCAGGCAACTTCCCGCAACACCCACCGGACGCATAACAGCAACAGTCCCGTTTCCTTGACGGCGTTCAACGTTCGCTGCACTCGCACGCACCTTATCATCATCATCAACAGCAATACACCAGCCATTTGAACTGATGCTTCGCTGCCACAACCATGAGAACCTATGAACTAAAGAATAAGAAAAGCGAGAGAAGTTGGACTTACCTGAAAACCTTAATGCCCTAAGCAAACATTCAGGGTCAAAGCGCCTACACCTTGTGTAAACAACATATTGTCACAAACAGCTGGCTATCTTGCAAAGATAACGCGGCATCGGCGAGACAGCTTCCTTGCGGCTTTCACTACCACGCGTCATAATCAGCCATTACCCCGCAGATAACTCAGCACCAAACACACTTTAAACAGGCAATCCGACTAGGAGACGGCAGCAGACGCGCCACTGGTGTCTACTGCGAGCCATATCCTGTAAAGTCTCGAGCGAAGCACAAGGCGAGTCACGTGAGCTCCAGCCCGGAAGGCGAGACGGACCGACGGCACCCAGTTTGGTCGTCAGTGACTTCATTTCCTGCTGCCCAGTCAACTTCCGTCCACCTCGAGCCACCCTACACCTGGCAGACTAAACAAGGCCCTCTTAGGTAAGCGATGACCAGGCATACGTAACACGTGCCCGAATCAACGCAAATTATTCAGTGCTATCTGTTGTTCTAGGGGACTAGCATGATTATCACTACCTAGTACTCGCCTACGCACATCATCGTTGCGGACACGCTGCTGCCATCCGATTCCAGCAATATTTCTCAGACAACAATGATCAAAGGCTTGAAGGTACCTCAGATCGAAGGAGCCAAGTCTCACTACCATAGAGCAGAACGGCCCTCACCTTTTCCTTGTATACCCGGACGGATGGAAACTCGCTTTTGTCGCCAAAGACGCCGCAGGTTCAAGAAGGTAACTCTGGCTTTTGCAATGCGTGAGCTGACGTCAGTTTCTATGCGCACATCATTGCTGATGCAGCTGCCAAGATAAGTGAAATGATCAACCACCTCGAGTTCCTCGTTAGCAAGCGTCAAGTGGTCATAGAGTGGCTGGTGGTCCTGCAGCAACACTTTGCACTTTGAAGGTGCGAAGTGCATATCAACTAATGGGACCACTCTAGACAGGCTATTCAAAGCTGATTTGGCCGCCCCAACATCGTCGAAAAGCAAGACGATATCGTCCGCATAATCAAGATCAACTAACCTTTCACCAGGCAGCACTTCAATGCCTACATCGGGAGGTTCCGCCACGGAACACTCCGTGATAGAATCCACAACAAAATTGAACAAAAATGGGGAAATCGGACAACCCTGAGGAAAGCCACTTGTGGTCGGAAAGCTGTTCGATAGGCCACCGTAGACCCTGACGCGGCCTGCAGTGGAATAGGATCTCGGCGGCCATGCACAACACGGAAGCATTTGCTTGTGGTACTATCATTTGGCACCGCACCAGTCACTGAATATCCGAGAGAGCGGTGAACGTGTTGGAATCCAAAAGAAACCTCCCGGCTGGCTCTGAGCACAACGGGACCAGACGGACCATTAAGCACGAACTAAAGCGGAGCCTACATGTTGACAAGGAAGCCTGGTGGGCCAGTAGGGTTCAAGAAATGGAGGCAGAAACAGTAGGCAACTTTCACAAGCTCTTTCTGCTGATCCGCACCACGGCCCAGGAAATCATGCGTCAGTGAGACAATCAGAGACAGCGCGGGTGTACTGATACACAGAGTGCCGTATGGCTCGTTGAGCGGAGCACCTTTTAGATCAGTTCCATTGGCTTTTTGCTCCTGGATCTCTTCCTACTCAGGTGATGCAGGATGTGTCATGAACGGTTAGTTAAGAGGCCCCATCGAAGGCTGAGGTCGGGAACACCATCACGGCGCTCAGTCGTTTTCGTGCTGCTGGTCCGGATTCCTTCCTACCTGCACTATTTAAGGATCAAAGTGAGGTCCTCTGCAAAGCACTGACCACCCTATTCGAACGTATCTGGAAGGAAGTGTCCCGGCTACTTGTAGCGAATCGATTATAATGGCAATATACAAGAAGGGCAGTTGCACAGACTGCTAACTACAGAGTTATTAGCCTAACGCCAGTGGTGACAAAATGACTGGCCTCGATTCTCGTTCATCGCCTCACTGTGGAGCGGGAATCTCGGATTAGGGAAGAGCAGGCAGGTTTTCGCCTAGGACGGGGCTGTATAGAGCACATATTCACTTTGCGGCAGGTGTTGGAGCGGCGCCACGCAGACCGGCAGTAGCTCTATTCCTTGACTTCAAAGATTTTAAGTTCGGGTGGGACTGAAACGATAGGAGGATCCCGTGTGTGTTCCATTTCGAGTGCATCGTTTTGCCAGGAATTGAAGTGCACAGAGTTGTTGATAGATTTATAACGGAACACTCGTATCGCACCTTGGTCAACCAGTTAATACCCACGTTTCCTGCCCTAGCAGTCCCTGCTGTGGCAGTCACGTGAAGTAAGCAAAGGATAGGAAAAAATTGGAGGTACAGGATAAGGAAGTCCACTTGGAATAACATAATACCAAGGCATGAAGAAAAGTAGAGAAAGGAAAATCAAAGTATGAAGATGCGAGCTAGTCAGGAAAAGGGAAAGGTTTCGTGTTGCCACCCAATAGCGTCAAGTTGCAGCTGAAACTCCTTAACCGTAGTCTCTGATAACGCTTTCCGGAACCATGTTCCAGCGCTCGATGACTCTGCGTGACAGCCGGATTTTCGCCCTAATCTGATCGGACCCGCGATTTGTCCAACTTCAGGTCTTGGCCACCTGATATTATCCTGCCCACGCAATAAACTGAATTTCTCTTCAAACAGCTTCTTGATGCTCTGGCCACCGCAGAGGATAATCAACGGTGCCCTATCTGCTGCATGGAGCAGGATGGATAGGGGTTTGGATACTACTACTCAGGCCTTCCCATCTTATTCCACCTCCTACATTTTCTCTCACCGTCCCATTCCAGCTTCACTTTTATCCCCCTATGTTTTCACCCCCCCCCCCCCAATACTTGACCCTCCCCACCTTGCTTTGCTAGGCTTTTGCCTTCTAGTTTCAACTCACATGTCAACGCGGAGCGTCATTCCTGTCCTGTTGACAGACCCATGTCCAACCAAACGGCCAAGCCCACTTCATCGACGTCCATTTGGAACCCTCGATCGTCCTTCGGGTTGGCATGCCTCAATGTACGCACATTGCTACAGATCGGTCAACAGGCAGCACTTGCCCGAACATTGGAGACCCTCTCGATCGATATCTGCTGCTTATCGGAGACCAGCCTGCAAGACTCGAGCTCTGTGCTCACTCTGCGATCCCCTCCAGTCGACACCAGCATCACTTTCTCATTGCGCCTATCCGGTGACGATGCAGCTTCGAGCACCGGCCAAGTCGGTGTTGGTATTGCTCTGAGTCCCCGGGCTGAAGCTGTTCTGGTTGACTGGAAACCAATCAGTAGCCCGTTGTGTGCTGTCCCATTGGCTGGCTCGTTCAAAGCTTCGAAGTCGTGCGGGACTAATAGGTGTCTATTCGTCATCGATGCCTATGCACACACAAACTCGCGATGATTCGGTACAAGACCACTTTTATCTCCAATTGAACGAACTTCGCCACAGAAGAAGCTCGGACACTGTTGTGCTGGCTGGGGATCTGAACGCTCAAGTTGGAAAATTATCCACTGATGAACTGCATCTGAGCGACCAACATGGTGTAGGCTCCCGTAATGATAACGGTGAGCGGTTACTTCTTTTGTGTGAAGATGCTCGCTTACTTCTTGCGAGCACTAATTTCCGACACAGCACCCGCCGGAGGGTGACTTGGCGCCTACCGGCCTGGAACCAGCCTTGGACGCAAATCGATCACATTGCGATGACTTACCGATGGAGAGGCTGCGTCCAGAGCTGTCGCTCGATATGGACCATGCACTTGTCTGTGCTGACCTGCGGATGCGTTTTGGCGGACGCCCAAGACGACGTTGTGAGCGCATTGACAACAGCCAACTGGCGAAACCAGCTGTTCTGAATGTCTATCAAAGTACTCTGTCATGCGAGTTGAGTAAGCGCTCACTGGATGCAGTCAAAGCTCACTGGTCTCATATTCATCAGACCTCACTAGCAGCAGGAAAATCCTCATGTGGTAAGTTTAATCGCCAACATGGACATTGGGTCACTTCGCAGTCTCGAACTTATCGATGCTCGCCGGCAGCGAAGCATCAGTTCAAATGGCTGATGTACTGCTGTTGATGATGATGATGCTCGCCGGCATATTCCGGCTGGAAGCGAACACAATAAAACTCG